GTGTTGTCAGTGATACACATGGAATGTTCTGGAGCTGGTGAAGAAAAACTGTGCCCCTGGTACCAGTGTATTTTAAAAAGCTGTAATATGGCTGAACATTTAAAACCATAACCTGTCATGAACCAAAGATTAGATACTGGGCTGTACAAAACATGAAATTCAAGCAACACAACTGCAAAGCATATTTTATTTCACTTACGAAAGAGGTTACCCTTCGAAGAACGTTAGATGTTACAGACGAAGAAGATCTCTAACACGTGGCCCAGTTTTTATAAAACACCCTCATTGTCGTAAACAACTACAAACAAGTAATTACCATGTTGATACAATATCTGTGCACCGAATGAGTAAGTAACCAGGCCTCTAGAAGGTTCTTTTCTTGACTTCATTTATTAAGACATGCATTTTCATTTAGGACTTTCCATTGAAGTTTTTATAGTATTGTTGTTGTTGTTAAGTGCCATCGCCTTGGTTCCAACCCATAGCGAACCTGTGTAGCTTTCCAAGGAGCAGCTGGTGAGCTTGAACCACTGACCTGGCTGTTCAAATCAACTCTGCAGTCCAGCGCATTAACTCACAGTGCTAGTATGCTCAGGTTTATTGATAAAAATATTTTTTAGTCCATAAGTCATTATAGATGTGAAATATAGCTGACTTTCCAGAAGGGCAGGTAGAAGAATTTCATGGGATTAAAATGCAATCTCTATTGTATTCACGTGCCTTAGTGAGCAGGTGTTTATAACAGTCTTTATGACAATGCTGTCTCTTAATTGTGACTCAGGGAACACTGGTGGTACTACAGTTAAGCGCTTGACCAATAACTAATATTTAGGGTTATAACCCCACTTAGAGTGGTCCTGGTGTGATGCTGTGGGTTAATATGCCAGACTGCAAAGCCATTTGAACTGCAAGGTTGGTAGTTCAAGTTCACCAGCTACTCCTCGGAAATCCTATATAGGGTTGCTATAGGTCGTTAACAACAACAACAAATGTAGTGATTATGAGTCGGGCTGCTAACCTCAAGGTCAGCGGTTCAAAACTACCAGCCGTTCTGTGGAAGAAAGAGGAGAGTTTCTGCTCCTGTAAAGATGTACAGCCTTGGAAACCCTATGCAGAGTCGCTATGAGTCGGAACCGACTCCACGGCACGCAACCACCAACAACCCCACTTGAACTTCATGATCTCCTCCCATAAAGATTACAGTCTAGAAAACCATCTAGGGCAGTTCTACTCTGTCACATGGGGTTGCTATGAGTCAGAAACACTGAACAACACCTCACAACAACTGGTTCTCAGGCATTGGGGCAGGAAAATTCTTTGTACCAGATTCAAGTTATTAGTAAAGTGTTAAATTGCTGAAATTCAGCTGTTCTTAAACCAAGTAAAGACACACATCCAGACTGTTATTATCTTATAAAGCATTAGTTGTCCCTTTTTCTATGATTTTGGGAAAAATTATGCTTCCTTTCATCTTTAATTGCTAAAATAGTCTTGAGAATATCAAGCAAACGTGTCAAAACCTTTTTCTCTGTCCTGTATCCATTGTTCCACACTCCCAGACCCAAAAAAAAGGAAAGAAAGAAAAAGAGAGACTTTGCTTTGCCTTTCTTCTTCTTTTTATGTAATTGACAGTGAAAGGAACAAGAAAGTTAAAGTTGCAGGAAGGATAAACACACATATTACCCATTGACACAGAAGAAACAAATTGTAGGGTCAACCTAAGAAAAACGGAATTCTATTGCTTTTTTGCTTAATTAAACTCCCAAGAAATGTGTGAAACATTGTTATGGTTGAAAAAATTGTTAATTTGTAAATCACAGGGACAAAGGGGCCCCTGTGCAACTTTCAAGTTTCTGTGCACGTAAATGTCGATAGAGTGCCTTCTCCATCATCAGCACTAAATTCACATTGATGCCTCTTTTCTTCTCTGTATTGATCCTTCCATGAGAACGTAGATTTGTATCTGTTAATTAATGCGTCCTGAAACAGCGTTTGTATTAATCAGGCAGATAAGAAAAATTGGATGCCTGTACCCTCCTGACAACCGTAAAAGTGCTGGCCCTGATAAAATCGTGGATGGACCTCAATAAAAAAGTTCCTCCTTCCACTCAATAAACTAATCATCCTGCTTTTAATTATTCGGCAGAAAGATGTGTGGAGATTGGAGAATGTGTAAATCTATTTACTAACAGCAGTGTCTGGGAGGGAGAATAGGGCTGTCACGGGGAAGCGCTGCGGGCTACAACACGCTCTGTCCATCTGCTGCTGCAGAAACACTGCTGCTTGGGAGCCTGAAAAGAAGCAAGGAAATCAAGTAGAATTAAAAATCCCTGTTCCTTTTTTCTCAGAATTTTCCAGATGATCCTTATTTTTCCATTTATTTAATTTACAAAAGAATATCATAGTCTCTCCCCTTTCTTTTGATTTAGATAATTAGATTGGCATTGCATCTCCCTTTTTGCAGCAGAGTAGCAAAAAAGAGCAATCTGGTTATGTTTTTTTTTTGTTGTTGTTTTTTATGGATAATAATTTTCCCCTTAGCAAAAGTCAAATTACTTAAGTTGCGTAAGTACTCACTTCTGCATCCCTGTGTAAAATGTTATTAGTTACTGGATTGCTAATGATAAGAAAATATGTCTTAAGTTAATGCAAAATATCAGTTCAAAAAGAAAAAAAAAGTGAGGAAATGACCCAACCAGTCCCACAGAAGCCTAGCCAAATTACGTGTAAGTGACTTGGTAAACAACGGAAAAGATGCTTTACACATTCGCTAAGACCCCCTTCTTAAGAAAAGCTTGACTAATCCCTTTTGATGATTTTATTAAGCACTTATAGTTAATGTTGCCAAAATGGCAAACCACTAGGTTTCACCAACAGGACAGGAAATTATTTTCTGACCATATTATACAGTAGTTTTAGTATGAGGTATGAGCAGTCAGAAACAAATGCAAATAACAACAGTAACTGTAGGCCAGAGTCTAAATGTGGAGCAGCCAGTGGGTATTTATTTTATAATTTGGGCAGTGGGTCTGGAATAAGGAGAGTGTTGATGAAGTTAGATTCCATAAGTTGCATTATTAAAGTTTCCCTGAACTTCTGTAGCATTCCTGTGGGTAGGACCTTAAATCATGGTACCATTATCCTCCAAAAATATTGGGGGGGGGGGGGGCAGCACCCTTGGAATTCTTGGATATACCCTTGGAAACAGAAGTGAAGTTTTAAAAACCCATTTCTTTTTTAAGGGCTTTTGGAAAAAGCAGCATGCTGATAATGAGGTATCTTCACTGACTTCTTTTTAGAATCTCGATTTAGTCGCTCGGAGATAAAAATATATTAGCTCTTTATTCCTAAATAGGTTTAATTGTACTACCTCATCCTTCCTTATTGAGGAATGGTTTCTTTCTTTTTTTTTTTTCTTTTTCTTTTTCTTTCCTGTTCTATTCTTTCTAGCTCATGAAGGTGTTAAGGATGCAGGTGTGAATGCAGCCCAGGTTTGCAGTAAAGAATTGAAGCAATCATGCAGCTATTTCAGATAAAAGTAACATGTGCTATAGTTACACTTATTGAATGCATGCTATAAATATGTATTTGCTGTTGTTGATTCCTGGTGTGGCGCTATAGGATAAGCACTGGTCTGCTGGCTACAAGGTCAGAGGTTCAAACTCACAAGCCACTCCTTGGAAACCCTGTACAAGGTATCTATGAGTCAGAGTCTACTAGAAAACACTAAACAAGTATATGTTTAGGTAAATACTGTATGTTATCAAATGCAGAAAATTAAGCAACAAATAAATTCTCTTGCTTAAGGTGAAACACCCAGTAGCAGCTCAGTGGGTCTAGTATTTGCCTTCAGGATCTACCTTTGTTGACTCCCTTTCTACTAAACATCATTACCTCCATATTTAACAGTATAAGTAACTTGACATTTTATAACAAGTGTAAGAAATCCTGGTGGTGTGCAGTTTAGTGCTTGGTTGCAAACAGAAAGGTTGGCGTTGAAGCCCACCCAGCGACTTTGCAGAAGAATAATTTGGTGATCTGGTCACATAGAGATTAAAACCTATTGCGGTTCACTGTATCCCTGCTCATAGCAACCCCGTAAGACAGTAGAACTGCCCCCAAAGGGTTTACAAGGCTGTAAATCTTTACAAAAGCAAATGGTCACATCTTTCTCCCATGGAGGAATTGGTGGTTTCTAACCACAAACCTTTCCATGAACAACCAAGTGATTTAATGGCAGCATCACCAGGCTCTCTAGGCGATCCTGTGGTACAGTTCTTCTCTATCATATAGGGTCACTATGAGTCTAATTGACCCTAAGGTATCAAACAACAAGACAAGAATGAATTGAATGAACCCTTCGGTAGGAAGGGTTCATTTAATTCTATTTGGTAGGCCAAGGGCTGGGCTGTTAAATATTCTACTTTATTTTGCATCAATAACCACCATTTTCAATTTAAGTATCAGTGGTGCAAAAATATCCAATTAGAATGACTTATGGTTTTAAGAACACTCATTACTCACTGTTTGTTACTTGTGATGATTACAGAAAATGTTTCCAAATTGCACTTGACTATTAACCTAAATGACTTTCCTTTGTTTTTGACATTCATTTACTTCTATACTATTTAACAATTTTAGGTTTTACAGATGAGGTCATTGAAAAATCTGGCTTCCTATAAGAACCTTATAAAAACTTGAGCGAAAAGTCAAGCATATTTAAAGGTGACATGGTATTCTCGAATGAAAGACAAAACTGTTTCTGTTACGTTCTCCTCAGACACATCTCTACAGCCTATAGAGAACACCAACAGACAGAAGCTGTTTTGTGACTTTTACTGTGTTATTTGCAAAGTGATCAGTGGAAACCTTAAGAGCTTCTAATCAAAGCTCAGCATAATTTTAAGCCCTGATGCAGAAGCCAAAGACCATATGAAACTAATGTTGCATTATGAAATTGTGGCTTGAAAGTAACTTGATCTGCCCATTTTCCCATGCAGGCTTCTCCACTCTGTCCCTGGCGGACCAGATGAGTCTTCTGCAGAGTGCTTGGATGGAAATTTTGATCCTTGGTGTCGTATACCGATCCCTTTCGTTTGAGGATGAACTTGTCTATGCAGACGATTATATAATGGATGAAGACCAGTCCAAATTAGCAGGCCTTCTTGACCTAAATAATGCTATCCTGCAGCTGGTAAAGAAATACAAGAGCATGAAGCTGGAGAAAGAAGAATTTGTCACCCTCAAAGCTATAGCTCTTGCTAATTCAGGTTGGCATATTGACATGGTCGTCGTTACATATTTTAATGTGTCAGTTTTACCCCTTCCCTTAACTTCTTCTTTAGGGATTTGCTAGACCCAGTTTATAAATTTTGTAAGAGTCAGCAAAATTATAACCATTTTAGCTTTCTCATGAAAAGTGAAATATAAGAAAAATAAACGCAAAGGGAGTTATTTTTATTTTACTTGCTTATTGGAAGCTATAAAACTTTTACCACCTAATGCATTTACTAATGTGAACCACAGCGAAGCACACACTTTTTGTCAGAGGAGCATTAAGAAACAAAGTTAGCTCCATTTTATTTTATGCAAAAGTGGGATATTGTGTGACTTATGAATATACACAAAACGTATTTCCTCCCAAAGATGCTAATTATGCAGTTGGTGTTGCCATTAATTTTGGTTATCAAAGAATTCTCTGTTTTCTTACATTCTGGAATTCTCTAGAAGTAAATTGTTGCTGGCGGAGTATTTCTCTCAAAGGCTGTAGGTAGGCAGTAAAAGTTCAGAATGATGGGACTACATTTTCGTTACATTTGAACTGAAACGTGCTAAAATAGGGAGCAACCTCTGATAAGTAAAAATCGTTGGTGCTTTGTTGTTTTTCCCTTTGTGCTTCTCCTAATGCTTTATTGTGGTCTTAAGTCTCTTTTAGCATTTGCATAAAGTTCAGGATAGATCCTCCTTAATGACGTGCCGATCATTAGATACCTGGGTGTCAATAATGTGCTCTGATGCTGTGTACCACTGACAGTCATACCGTGCCCCTCCATCTGCTTTTGTTTTGACCCTATCTTTGAACTTTATCTTGGTTGCCGGCCAGTAGTTTTCCCTTTAATTACAAGAAGGAAACTGTCAATAAAATCTGTTAAATGGGATGCAATGAGTGGCTTGAATGGGCGGACGGCTATTTGTTCAAATTCTGCAGCATTCAAGGTATTGACAGTTTGTTTTCTGGGGCCATATGTGACGATCAATCTCAGGCTGGGCTCAGCCGCGCTGAAAAATGAAAAACCAGATTGCTTTTGCTTACTTGTGGATGACGACTTTGTGATTTGGCGTGGATCTAGTGAGATGAGACCTTCTGCCCAAATTGCCCCCATGAGAGTCAGAGGCGCGTGACTGTTTTTAGAAATAATTTTTAATTGATTTTGTAATTAACAGTTCATCTACAATATTGATGCATGAATCCTTGGACTGATAGGAGGGAAATTGTTTTCAACAATGAAGTTGTACTTTCCTATTTGTCTTCATAATGGAGTTTAGCATTTCATGCTTCTAATTGGGAACATAACCCCACTGCACCATTTACCCCTCTTCTTTCACTCCTCTGTGGAGATGTAAAATATGATTCCTTATGAAAAATGGCATGGCTTTTTTATAAACACTCAAAAACCCCTTCTCCTGCTCTGTAGAAGATCAAAGTGGGAAATGGGATAGGATTTTTCTGAGTTTACTACTTTGCATGAACTTCACATCCTAACAGCTCTCATGGTTAAGATGAAAGATTTTATAGCAATACCTCAGGGAAGATATTTTGTTTGGTGATCCCAAAATAATTCTATTTTAAAACATTTAGAGCTGCTGGTTATTTAGTTAATTATTTTTAAATATGGTAAGCTTGCAATATCTTTTACCTTATGATCCAAATTGCTTTCTAAAATGTATTAACTAATCGACTGATGAGTAATGCCAAAACTTTGACAGAACCTTTTAGATGTTAGCAGTATACTTGATGAATATGTATTATAATTCTGGGTACCTGAATTAATTAGCAGCAGCAGTTCTTTGTTGTTTAAAAGTACCTTCATTATTATTTTTGATATATACAAATACTCTAATACCACATACTACCCTTCCTGTTTAGGAAAGGAAATGTGATGAATGATTAGAAAATGTTTGTGTAAAAAACAAGTTAGTTTCTTTGTCTTGTTTAAAACCAGAGTAGTTAACAAACCACCCCCCCTTTTTTTTTTTTAAATATCATAGTACAGAGTTGTAGTATTCCTTTTTTTCATGGAAAATTTCTCCATGTCATGACATTTTTCTGTAACTGATTTTAACATGCGTTTAGTCTCTCAATACCAAAATAATAATAGTAACAATAATTGAATCAGAGAAATGAATAAATAATGTAAGGATTATTTTAATCTCTAAACTGTGCCACCTCTTCTGTGGCCTCTCTCATCTACCCCAGACCGCCCCCTCTCCACCATTTGAGCTTAAAATCAACTACATAGAAAGTAATTTTCTTTGGTACTATCGGTATGATGCTGGATTATTCCATTTTTTTTGGAATATTTTGGAGGATAGCAATAAAGTTGTCAATTCAAATTTACGATCCAGTGTAAGTTTCTTCAACTGTTCAGAAACACATCATTGTGAAAAGACTCTCATGCTGCTCAGTGCTGTTGCTGCTAAGTATTTTAAAGTGCCATGGTGTTGGTTCCAACTCATAGTGACCCTGTATACGGTCTCTGAGGAGCTGGTGGGTTTGAACTGCTGAACCTGTGGTTTGTAGTCCAATGCTGATCCTACAGCGCCATACAAGGAGTCCACTGCTGCTTGTAGTTACCCTAAAAAATTCTTAGGTGTTGTTTTAACATTTAAGGATTTAAAATTAGCATAGATCACTTTTTTTGTGCAAAAAGTCTATTTTATTGTCATTTGTATAGGTATAGTAGCTTTCCCTGGGAGCATGGTGGCTCATGTAATAAACATTGAACTGCTAACCACAAAATCCACAGTTTGAGCCTGCTTAATTGTAACCCTATACAGGGATCTTGTGTTTTTGTTTTGTTTTGAATCTTAGTCATCCAGTTGAAAGTGAAATGGTATCTTGTGGTGTTGATTTTCATTTATCTTATGGTTGATGATGCTGATCATTTTTCTTGTGTTTGGGGCCATTTGAATGATTGGGTTTGCCCATTTTATGATTGGGGTATTGGTCTTTTTGTTGTGACGTTGTGAAGTTGTTTTATATATGTTTGGTTATTAGATTCTTGTCAAGTACCTAAATGTTAATCAATAGATAAATGGATAAACAAAATGTGGTACATAACCGGCCTTATCCTACTACCCCACAGCAGGACTCCACAAGCTACTCAGTAAATAGGAGAAATGAACTCTTGAGAACATCCTATAATCTGGATGGGGCTGGACAGATATAAGATAATCACAAAAGGACAAATGTTATGTGACCTCACTTACGTAAAAAAAACAAGAAAAGGCAAATGTATGGAGAAAAAAGTTTATTATTAAGTACCAGGGGATGAACAATAATGTAAACCTCACATTGATTAAGGGTGGGGTTATACAACTGATCATTTTAATGCTGCCTTTAAGCTGTATACCTGTAAAAAGTTGAATTGGCAGAAGCTGTGTGATCATTATCTTTCTGCAAGTACAACAAACAGAGATGCTTCAGAGTATACTTATGTTCAACGGAAATCCTCATGAGATTTGCAGGTTTAGGGTCACGGTTTCATGGAGCATCCCAGTTAATTAGCCTAATAACATGCCTAGTACTTCTGTTCTACTTCCTAGTTCATTGCATCATACCTGGATAAAAGCTTACATTGGCCATCCAAGGTACAATTAGTCTCTGTTTGCCTGGAGCAACAGAAAAAGATGCAGCTGTCATTATTAAAAGAAGAATATGGAATATGTTGGGTAGTTGCCTCCAAGAACAACTGCCTCCTTTGCCATAAGACCAAAAGAACTGGATGTTGCCAGCTACCATTACTGAAAAATTTCATCGAAGATTCCATACAATAGTCCTGATCAAAAGGGAAAAAAAATGCAGAACAGAATTTCAATTTTTCATGGTCTCCAGACCTCCTAGAGCAATGAAAATTGGGTGGACCCCTGAAACTCTTGCCCTGGGATAATCTTTAAATCTTAAGCCAAAATATACCCTGAAGTCTTCTTCAAACCAAACAATAGCTTACCTTAACTAATAAAAAAAAATCTGCTTTGAGCACTACACTCTTTTATCACTTATCTTTATGGGAACCAATTAACACAGCAACTTGAAAGTTTAAATAGGAACTTTAAAAGGCCACAAATTTATGATAACGGGGAGGGACAACTCCAAAAAAGGAGGTTGAGAATGACTTAGTTGTTAAATTGTAAATAGTACATGTCAAAACTCTTGAATTGGTGTCTGTTTTGCTGTGTATATTCTCAACAAAACAAACATCAAAATGAATAAAAGCATCAGAGATATCTGAAAATCATGAAATAATAAATTCAGTGATTTCTAAAAGCTCTGAAAATGTATAGACTTATTTAGTTATGTATTTTCTTACCTTTGAATACCAACAGCTACTTGAGCAATTATTATATCCTTATGATACTGTCTGGGAGGGAGTCATGATGTGGCACTGCAGGGTCAGGGGTTCAAACTTGCCAGCTGCTCCTTGGAAACCCTGTATAGGGTTGCTGTGAGTCAGAACCAACTTGATGGTACTTAACATCAACATACATATTTTTTATCCCATTATTTGGGTTGTTGTTGTTGTTGTTGTTACGTGCCGTCGAGTCGGTTCCGACCCATAGTGACCCTGTACAGGGTTTCCGAGGGTGTAAATCCTTGCGGGAGTAGAAAGCCTCATCTTTCTCCCGCGGAGCAGCTGGTAGTTTCGAACCGCTGACCTTTAGGTTCGCAGCCCGATTCGTAAACACTATGCTACCAGAGCTCCTTGTAGTATAGTGAAAAAACCTTATAACCATTTTGGGTCAGATTATATTATAGGATTCTTTTCTCTCAATTGGTCCTATTGACTCTTATGTCTAAGAATGTCATTATTATCACTAGCCCCAAGTTTACTTTTATATACTGATGGTTCAGTAGAGAACTCAGATGCTAGTGCAAAGATTGGCTGTACAAACTCACATGCTTCTCCAAGTAGGAAGGATGTGCTCATATACTTTAATAAATATGCACAGCCTTGACAATACTATGAGATCAGACAGTTCTATGTCCTAT